ACTGTTTTGGGGCCTTTCAGGAATCACTTAAAAAGCACCAAGTTCACAGCCAGGCGCGGTGGCTCATGCCTGTAATCCCAGCACTTTGGGAGGCTGAGGTGGGCAGATCACTTGAGGTCAGGAGTTTGAGACCAGCCTGGCCACCATGGCAAAATCTCGTGTCTACTAAAAATACAAAAATTAGACATGGTGGCATGTGCCTGTAATCCCAGCTAGTCAGGAGTCTGAGGCATGAGAAACGCTTGAACCTGGGAGGCGGAGGTTGCAGTGAGCCAAGATTGTACCACTGCATTCCAGCCTGGGGAACAGAGCAAGTCTTTGTCTCCAAAAAAAAAAGCACTAAGTTCATGACAGGTTATGAGACCCCCCGAACCCACCCCCCCAAAGTCATGTGACTTCAGATCTGGGTTGTAGATAAAGTTTAGATTAGATGTTTAGGTTTCTAACATATATCTTCCTTAGTTCCTCCCTCCACCCCCAGCCCCACCCCCATCAGTTTCCTGGCAGCATTGTGCGTCTCCTTTATATGATGCTTTAAAAGGACACTAGAAGCCCAAATTACTCATGTATTCATAGCTTTTTAAGGCATAAGAACTTTTTTTCCTTCCATTAAAGCCATTATCCACAGTGATGTCCTATTTAATCTGATGATTGCATATCAGCTCTAGAGTAAGAAAGCTAATTACTAAAGGTATTTAAAATAACTAAGTCACTTCACTGTTGTATACTTCTCTGGGGTTGGATTTCCCAGGATTCACCTACAAATTATGTATTGTGTACAGGCCATCTGAGAGAAGCCAATTGAAAAACTGGAAAGAAAACCTGCTTCTCATAGTATCTTTTTAAAAACAAAAATGACACACACTAAAATACCTAAGAGTAACACAAAAAAGACATAAAAAACTAAGAGATGCATGTTCAAAATAATTATTTAGTCAAAATACTTGGGAAACATGTAGTTTTTTGTTTTTCTTTAAATCTCAATGCCTTGTCAGTTGGCCTTTGGGGTCCCTGTCTTTCAGGTTTCTCACCATACCTTTGACCTTATGTTATCCTCTTTAGCACCTCTTTTTTTTTTTTTCCCCAAGATTCTCATTTGTTAAGCACTAACCAGGTGTCCTGCACACTTGGGATAGAGAATGGGAAGAAAGATCCCCGCCCTTCTGGAGCTTCCACTTCAGCAAATAAGTGCATAAAGACTTTGCGTGCCAGCTCCCATTTCCTCACTGCTCGTGTAATTCATGCCACACGCAAAGTGATTTCCAAGTTCCCACCTCTTTGCAGCAACTCCCCTTGGTTTGGTTATCAGTGACCTAATTGCCAACCCTTATCAATCTTTGTCTACTTTAACCTTTGAAACTCTTATTCTTTGGTGCCCATGACACAGCTTTTCTCTGTGTTGAATTAATTATTAATTATTATTAAACTAGTAATGACTAGTTAATATAGTCTCCACACTGACATGAAATGCGATTATAATTGAGCAGGCAAACTTGAGTCTCCAGTAGACGTCTGCTGTGGAAAACAAAGTTGAGATCTAGCTAAGACCATTGGAACTAACAAGTTGAGATTGTAACAGTCAAATATTCACTTAGCTGCTGTATTTCAAGTCTTCAACACTGAAATTATTTCGTGTTCCAACACTAAATTCAAGCTGTCATTATCGAATAACACGAAATTCAAACTGTCGTTATTGAATAACAACAACAGAGGAGATTAAAACTGTTGCCAACTTGCAGTTATGACTAATGTGCTAACACAAACACATTTGTGTTCCTTGTCCCTTCTACCCTCTTGGAAAAAAAGCAGGTCTTTTGTTTTTGGTTTTGGTTTCTGTTGGGTAACAAAGAATTTATGCTCACCAAGTTGTATGATCTTTCTCTCTGCCTGACTCTTAAGTGTCCTACCTACCCTCCTTGTGCAGGCTTCCTGGGTGATCTCCCCATCTTCAGGACATTGTCTGAGCCTACTCCCCAGGTATTTCTACAACTCAGATTTTTCTTCTGAGCACCAGCCCTGGAGACCTAGCCACTTAGAGGACCTCTTTTTCTGTCTGTTCTCTTGGCCTCATAAGTCCATCACGTCACGACACCTCTTTATCTCTAACCTCTGAACACCCAAGCCAAAAACCTAAGCCATCCCCCACTCTCGGTCTCCCCTTGGTCACCAGTGCCTGCTACTTTGACTTTAGTATCACTCTCCCCCACATCCTTCCTCAGCCTTTTCCTTGACAGATGCAGTATTTTAACTGCTTCCCAGTCTTTCTAGTCTTGCCCCCTTCCAAGCTCTTCACCATACTGCCACCAGTGAAGTTTGAAAACAATAGTTGGCCAGGTGCGGTGGCTCACGCCTGTAATGCCAGCACTTTGGGAGGCCGAGGCGAGCGGATCACGAGGTCAGGAGATCGAGACCAACCTGGCTAACACGTTGAAATCCCGTCTCTACTAAAAATACAAAAACAAAATTAGCCGGGCATGGTGGTGGGCACATGTAGCCCCAGCTACTCGGGAGGCTGAGGTGGAAGAATGGCGTGAACGCAGAAGGCAGAGCTTGCAGTGAGCTGAGATCACGCCACTGCACTCCAGCCTAGGCGACAGAGTGAGACTCCATCTCAAAAAAAAAAAAAAGGAAAGAAAGAAAAGAAAAGGGAAGGGAAGGAAAGCAAAAGGAAGGGAAAGGAAACAATAGTTAACAGGTCCAAATACCTTTTGCATCCCTCACTAACTGAAGGGATAGGAAGGCAACAAGCCAGTAGAAGAGAAAATGCTTTGCTAAAGGTCATTGTATGTCTGTGTCTTATTTTTCTTTTTTGACTACTTAATCTTATTTCACTTAGGACCTTGGTTATTTATATTAGTTGCCTATAGGCAATGGAACATAATTAAATACCATTTTCTAGTTAAATTCACCTAAGACAACTTTTAAACAAAACTCTTGCATTAAATGTTGCCATTCATGAAGCATTGTTAACTTGCCCGTCTCTCCCCAGCACCTTCCTTATCTGATTTCACTGCTTGGGGAGCATGCTAATGATTCCTTGGTGTTAATAACTTTGCAATTCTTAAACAGGTGACATTCCAAGCCTGCAGTATATCTGAGGCCAGATACCTTTATGATCAGTTGGCCACTATCTGTCCAATTGTCGTAAGTATAAATTACCTCTTATTTTAAATACTACTTCGTAGGAAATAAGATAACATATGCAGAATTTACTAATGGTGTGCTATTTAAGTCCAGTTAAGACCTCAGTCAGAGATGGACTAATATAAGTAGTATGCAGGTTTAGGTATAATGAACTGAGAGTCTACACTGTAGAAGTTTACTATTGCTAGTACAACATTGATTTGTTAAACGTCAAGTTTGAATGTGGACATTGTCCCTCTCCCATACTTCATGTCCTCACATTAGAGAGAGGATGATTTAAGTGAATCAAACCCAAGGAACTGGATTCTTCTTGGTATATTTCACTGTAAGATAGGCACAGGTACGTGTGGTGGAGCTCTGTATGGGTTGCACAAACTGATTATTTTTTATCAGAAATATAACTGCATGGAGCTTTTTTTAGCGTGTAAGTGACATTTTGAATTTGCAGGAGCTGACTTTTGTTTGTTTTTAGATGGCTTTGAGTGCTGCATCTCCCTTTTACCGAGGCTATGTGTCAGACATCGATTGTCGTTGGGGAGTGATTTCTGCATCTGTAGATGATAGAACTCGGGAGGAGAGAGGACTGGAGGTGGGAATTATTGTTCCTTAATAGCCCTTTTAAATCAAGCGGGTAAAAATGGATCTTTTGTAACTACTTGCAATTTTAGGATGTCTCCCTGAAATTTTTATCTAAAGTGAGGAAAAAGATTTGGTCTAGGTGGGGAGTTAATTTCTATCATATGTTGATGTCTGTATTTGTTTTAGCTTCATTTAAAATTAGTAGTGCCATTTTTCTATATTTTGGAAGTGCTGATGGCTGTTTTTAGCAAAAGGCTTTTTGGTGCCACATGAGTGTTTTGTATATGGTTCTTTCTGCCGTGGAAAGTATAATTTGTGTCAGAGATTCTTTTTTCATGTAAAAGGTTAGGCATTGACTAATAAGGGTGAGATGGCACCTCTTGTTTGCATGTTGAACTGTAAAGTAACCCTTGCATCTCTCCAGCAAGGGGTGTGCATCAGAACCACCCATGGAAATCTTTAAAAGTAGACACCGAGACCCTATCCTAGACCTACTAAATAAGAATCTCTAGGATGGGACCTGAACCAGGGGTGTTTTTAAAGGAGCCCTCATAAGTGTTTTTGATATTCTTAACCAGGGCTATACTACTGCTGCTCTGGTCTTCATGTAATTGTTCATAAATTGTTGAACATGCTTTCTAAGTAGAAATAAACTTTAAAGGATAAATTATTTTGATAGGTTTATCTTACATTATAGATGTATTTATTTATTTGCTTTTAACCTTAGCATTTATTTTCCCTAGCTTAATAAGAATGAAAGTGATCTGCTTGTAAAAGAAAGAAGTATATTTAAATCATACCAGAAAAAAAGGGTATTTAAATTACCTTCAGATTTTAAAAAATATAATTTTCCTTAATAATACTTTTCAGGGCTCTCTAACTTTTTTTCTGTATCTTATGTTGAGGTTTTTATATAATTATCATACATAAAAATATATTATTTTCAACTCATTTTATATAGCATATTCATTTATATATATTTTTAATCTTTAGCCATTGAAGAACAATAACTATAGGATCAGTAAATCCCGATATGACTCAATAGACAGCTATTTATCTAAGTGTGGTGAGAAATATAATGACATCGACTTGACGATAGATAAAGAGATCTACGAACAGCTGTTGCAGGAAGGTGGGTTCCCACTGCATCTTTCTGGGTTTAATTGTACGCCTTTAGTTCTTCAAAGCTCTTATACACTTTTTTGCTGACTCCTGGTCTGGTTTCTATTTTTAGTGTGAAGTCTTTAACTTTCCTTATGAGGCTGCTTGTTCCTAAAGTTTCAGGTTCCAAATACTTGTGAGATCTTCTTGACTTTTAGCAAAAGGAGCTTACTTTGGAGGTCTGTGTGTAGGTCCACACCAGTGCCCCAGCAGGCATTGTGTAAGTAGTGAATAAAACGTTGACATTTCTGCAGTGTCCGCAGGATAAAATACTGGGCGAGGTGAGGATACTAATCAAACCAGCTATTTCAAGCTTCTAGACACCCTTTCTTCAAACTTCCTGAGCTATCCTGTCGTCTTTCTGGACTAAGAGGAAGGGGTATCTCCTGCTTTGCAGTGAGTTCCCATATGATCTCTTTGCAGGCATTGATCATCTCCTGGCCCAGCATGTTGCTCATCTCTTTATTAGAGACCCACTGACACTTTTTGAAGAGAAAATACACCTGGATGATGCTAATGAGTCTGACCATTTTGAGGTATCTCCTCAGTTTTATTTTTATTTATTTATTTATTGACTTCTGAGAGTCTGGAATCCTATGTTTTATATGCATTTCACTTCACAAACCAACATGGGGAGGCAGTTTTCTGTACCTGTGAAGAATACAAAAGAAATTTCGTGAGACTTTCATTTACCCAGTGCAGAAAAGAACTTGAACAAATGAAAAATTGGTTTCAAGTACTCTTATTTTACGATTCTTACTGTTTATCTCACTGATTATATTGTTTTGTTGTTGTTCAGTATTTTCTTATTTGCCTAGTGGTGAAAAATTCATACACTGCACAAAAAATAACCTGATCAGTTATTTCAGTGCTTCAGACCTACCACCTTTTTTTTTTTTTTTTTTGTAGATAGGCTTCTCATAGGCTTATTTCTGTGTCATGTTATATGTAGACATTGACATATATACCTTTTGAAATACCACCTATATCCCCTTTCTTTCCCCCACCAAACTCACAAAAGATATAAATCCTTCCAGTCTTGCCATCAGATCCCAAGATGGTTAGGGCCAAGAAAGAACTCTCTCTTAGCGTCTTGAGAAACAGCTACCCTTCTTAGGCTCTGGGGTCATTGAAGCAGCAGCATTCCCAGGAGAGGAGGAAGAAAGGAAACAACTGTTATGTGACAGGGTTCTCAGATGAAAGTGTCCAGTGTCACCTGGAACGGCAGGCTGGCTCCTAAAACTCTCAGGGATGAAGGTGGGGGCCCCGTGGCTCTTCAGCTGCTGCCCCCTAGGTGGGAGGTAGGGAGTAGGAGCTGGGTGGGATTAAGCTTGCAGGGATAGGGCCTCTAGCTTTTGGTAAACACTTGCTGTTTTGTTTTCCTGAAAGAGCACACTCCAAGAAAATCTTAAATTATACCTTTTTGTCTTTGTCAGTTGAAGAAATTTGGTATGGACAGTAAGCAGTCTTCTTTCCTAATTAAATATCAGATCATCTTAATATTTTCCCAGATGTATGAAAAGTTGGTTTTCTTCTCTGCTTTTGTATCATAGAATATTCAGTCCACAAATTGGCAGACAATGAGATTTAAGCCCCCTCCTCCAAACTCAGACATCGGATGGAGAGTAGAATTTCGACCCATGGAGGTAAGACACACGCATCAGCAAGAACTGACTCAAAAGTACTCTTTCGCCAGCTGTTCATCACCCTTCTGATGCTGCTGTCAGAAGGCTCTTAAATATAAAATAAAAATTAAGTATGTGCATGGTAACAAGTCAGTCCAAGTTATAGAGGGTTGATTTCTGAGAACAGATGTGGGCAAAGGGCTTCCAGACCCAGATGGGGAATTAGGAGATGGCTTGGGAATGACATGATCGAAGGAGGGGCCTGGGTCAGGGAAGAGCACGTTTGTGTAGTTGGTTTGTAACTTCTCTGAGCTTCTGCTTGTCTAGGTGCAATTAACAGACTTTGAGAACTCTGCCTATGTGGTGTTCGTGGTACTGCTCACCAGAGTGATCCTTTCGTACAAATTGGATTTTCTCATTCCACTGTCAAAGGTAAGGATATGTTTCTTTATGGTGATGGGTATAGATCTATCTGTCGATATATTTATTTATATATGCTATTTTTTTACAACCTGATTTCATTTGGAATTGTTTACCCTTTGCAATAAAATGTTTCTCCATCAGCCCTATTCTTTATTTTCTTTTAAACCTAAGCTTAATTTCTAGACGCTTTCCATTCAAGGTGATTGATGGCTAGAAGTAGTCCCACACATTGATTTCATCCACCACAAAATCCCAGGTTGATTACAATGTTAAAATTAGGATGGGGAGGGAAAGTGTAAATGCTGGAATGCCGGGAAAAGTATCCTCAGTAGAACTGAACTTGAGATGTTTCTGAAGAATCTGGATGGGGTTGGACTGTCAGAAAAACAAATTGGAGTTCATCAGCCCCCCAAAAGACCAAAAACCACGCTTTCTGGGAGCAGTTTGCCAGCAGAACAACTCCAGGTGATGAGGGAGCAGAGCTGTGGGTGGTGGGGCAGTAGCTGAGGAGGTGAAGGTCTTTAGTTTCTGGGCCAGGGTTCCTCTTGGCAGAGAGTGGCTGGAAAAAACTGCTAAACAGAGAGGGCCCTGCCGCAGGAGTTCCTGGTTGAGGGTTTTAGGGCCAGAGAATGGAGAAGTAGGGCAGCCCTGTCACAGCAAACATGGAAGCAGGAATGAAACTGCTTAGCTCCAGCATCTGCCCCTGGGGCATCTCCTTCCTCCATGAGCGGTTTGCCAGACTGTGCCCATCCCCACACCCCCTGAAGGAAGTCAGGCTGTCAGCCCATGCCTGCTCCTCACACCCAGACCAAAGATCATAGAACTCTGTGGGCCCACATTGCCCTCATGCCTACCTACTGGGGAGACCAAATCCATCTAAGAGAGATTGCATGTAAGCTACCGGTCTAAGCCTTTGCTTATAAATAAGAATAGATGCCCGGAAGGCAACAGAAAATTGAGAACAATTAACAGCCTTAAAGAGAAGGGCCCAACTAGTCCTGCAAGGGTATACTCTGTTCAGTGAAACTTAGTTACTTCAAGGAAGTAAGCTGGGCCCAGCACACACCTATAATCTCTGCTCCTCAGGAGGCTGAGGCAGGAGGATTGCTTGAATCCAGGAATTCCAGTGCAGCCCTGACAACATTGCCAGATCCCATCTCTTGAAAAAAAAAAAGATAAGAAACTGGAAAGAATTATTATTATTATTTTTAATTTTTAAACCTTTTTTAGAGACAGGGTCTCACTATGTTGCTGAGGCTGGTCTCGAACTCCTGGGCTGAAATGATCCTCCTGCTGCCAAGCCTTCCAGGTAGCTGGAATTACAGACACAAACCACCATGCTCAGCTTTGGAAAGTGTTCTTAAAGGAATTCTAATTAGTGGCCTCAGACAAGTTCTATAGAGGTTCAGTCACATCCATAAAACAAGCATTATAGATGGTGCTTATTTAATGGTGAGTATTCTCACCAGTAGAGCAGATGTTGTTGAATATCCAAGGTAGTGACTTAGAAGACCAAATTAAGATTAATCCCAGCAGGATGGTGAAGAAATGGAAATTATGGAAAACCTGAAGCCTGGAAAACTCTAGAAAATTCAATGTTTATGTAATAATTTAGAAGAGGAGAATAGTTTATATAGAAAAGATATAAAATACAATAATCAAGGAAATAATAGAATTTTTCCTTAATAAGTCTCCCTTAAGGATGAGACAAATACTTAACTCAAATGTAGGCATTTATTAATTTCAAAGAGAAAATTAACTGTCTGGACAAGAGGAAAAATGAGGAGACCTGCCAAGGGGGAAAAAAATCAACTGATACTACTTCTCATTTGCAACATTAAATGCTGGATGGAAAGAAGTTTTCAGAATCTCGAGAGGTAAAGAATTAACAACCACAGAATTATCTTCTCATCCAAATTATTCTTTAAATTTCAGGTGATTCTAACAAAACTGAATGGATCAAGTTAGGGCTAAAAGTATGCCAGAAGTCTTATCTAGTGTCTTAGTTTGTTTGGGCTGCTGTAACAAAAATACCTTACACTGGGTGGTTTATAAACAACGGGAATGTATTGCTCACAATTCTGGAGGCTGGGAAGTCCACGGTCAAGTCACCGGCAGTGTCAGTGTCTGGTGAGAGCTTCTGCCCCCTGGTTCATACATGGTGCCTTCTTGCTGTGTTCTTACATGGTGGAAGGGGCTAACAAGCTCTTCAGGTGTCTCTGTTATGAGAGCACTACTCCCATTTATGAGGGTAGAGCCTTCATGACATCCCAAAGGAGGTCCTCCCAATCGCCCCCCAAAGGCCCTACCTTCTAATACTGTCACAATGGGCATTAGGCATCAGCGTATGAATTTGAGGGAACACAAACATTCAAACCATGGCACCTAGTAAGGGGATATGGAAGGAGATGAATGGCAGATACTCATTAGTGCTTGACACTTAGAGAGTTATAATTTCAAAACTACCTCTTTAAAAGTAAGGAAAACTATTAATAGTATAGAAACAGGATTTATTACTCCTAAACTTGCTGGCTAAAAGGGTGGTAAAATGAACCAGGAATACATTTCAGTGCCACAAAATTGGGTGTGGGGCCAGGGGAGTGAAGAAACAATAGCCCACAGAACATAAAATGGTGAAAATAAAATGAAAACAAATTTGAATAGACTAAACTCTATCCTATTAAACAGCTAAAACAGATAATATAAAATAGCAACAACACAGTTTGCACAAGATATACCTAGAACAAGGACAGATGCTGGGAAGAACTGCATAGTGACCTTTTGGAATGATAGCAGGAATGGCAAAGCGATATCAGGCAAAATGTGAGGTAGAAATTATTAAATGGGATAGAGAAAGTAGTTTTATATATTCTTCCAAGAAGATGTGAAAGCTGTGGTCCTTTTTGTACCATGAAATGTAACATGAAAAGAATTTAGTGTGATGGGTAATATGTGGCTTTGATGTGAGAACTAAATGCATAAATCCCTGGTACTACTTAGGAGGCTTTTAACCTGGACAAGTTACTTATTCTCAGTGCCTCAGTTTCCCACATGTATCCCAGAGGGGGATAAGTAGGCTGTTGTAAGCCCATGTGAGATTAATGAGGTAAACCACTTAGCAGAGTACCTTGCCTGTTACTTAGTAACTGACAGGTCATATAATCAAAGGATGGGAAGGGCCATGGGGGAGTTAAATGGCACGGTTAATAAGCTTGGTTGTATGGCCTGTATTACATATCTCATACCACATCTTTTTTCAGATGCCATGAGTAAGGTTTACAAAAAATAAAGAAAATCTTCACTTCTCAAAAGTAGACACAATAGAGCATGCGTTCCCACTAAAACTAAAGAGAGATTCTGGAGAAATTTAACATTGGAAATTAAAAATGTATAGATTTTAGATTCGCCAAAACCAGAATTACAGGTTGTATAGGAAAGTGAAAGACAGTAGGTTGCTGGCAGAGCTGGTGTGTGAGGAAAAAATTATGTCGTAAAACAAAGATTTTGAATCTAAGTAGTTGAGAATCTAAAGAACAAAATAAAATATACTTTGAAAGGAAGTCATAAAAGCAGAAATTAGAAGTGGTCATTATCAACTTTTTACAAGACTAAGGAAAAAAGAAACAAATACTAGTAATGAAAGCAGATGTTCACAGCCATGGTGGAATTTATACTATTTATTTGAGTGTGCTCCTAGAGTATCTAGATTGTTCAGAAGGTCCTGTGTGTCTCTTCAAAAATGAAACCGTTAACAATCGCACTTCCCACATAATGAATGTGGGAGGAGATTTGGTAATCAAGAGAGTTTATGTACCATCTGTCCCACATCAGCCTAACTGGTCACTATTGTATACACTGAGGTCCCACATAAGATTTCATTATAGAAAATAAGGGATTACTACTAAAAAGTTTTTTAAATTCTGCTTTGAGAGTCTTAAAAAGTCATTGGAGATGTAGAGAATTCACAAATGAAACAGTTTTCGGTTTCATGAGTGAGTCTACATGTCTGGAGCCACCAGGTGGGCAAAAAGCAGTGATCTTCTGCCCTTGGGAGGGCTGTAACCTTATTCCAGATACGACAACCTATGAACTGTCTTTGCCTTTCCTCACTCTAGTGGGGAGGCAAAACCCCAATGGCGAGGCAGCAGGGGAAGAGCATTCAACTTAGAAGAACTGGGTTATAGGCCAGGCGCGGTGGCTCACACCTGTAATCCCAGCACTTTGGGAGGCCGAAGTGTGCAGATCACTTGAGGGTCAGGAGTTCGAGACCAGCCCCGTCTCTGCTAAAAATACAAAAAAAAATTAGCCAGGTGTGGTGGCGCAGGCCTGTAATCCCAGCTATTTGGGAGGCTGAGGCACGAAGCATCACTTGAACCCAGGAGACAGAGGTTGGGGTGAGCTGAGATCGCACCACTGCACTCCAGCCTGGGCAACAGAGCGAGACTCCGTCTCAAAAAAACAGAAGAAGAAGAACTGGGTTCTAGTCCTGCCTTCTGCCTTCATTACCCTGGGACTCCTGGTGAGACACTGCTATGTAAATGGAACCAGCCACCTGCCCTCCCAACACTGTATGTCTATTGCAAGCCTCAGTCACAGAGGTGCTTTCAAATACAGACATTCCACGTGAATATAAGTTTTGGGTTTTACGTGTCTCTTAAAATTCCCTGATTAGTTAAAAAAAATCACATACCAATCCATGATTGAGTGACACAGTCCTCACATAAATAAAAAGCCTGTTCCTCCCACTGGGAAGCATTTGAGCAGAACGTAGAATCCCTAAGGGAGTGAGTCCTCATTGCAGAAGTGAGGAAGGCGCTGCAACCTGTACGTCCGATCAAGAATATTGTGACTTAGTCGTGATTCTTTTTCTCCCTTAGGTTGATGAGAACATGAAGGCAGCACAGAAACGAGATGCTGTCTTGCAGGGAATGTTTTATTTCAGGAAAGATATTTGCAAAGGTATTACATTATCTTAGATTTCTAACGTCAGCTTATGCTGCAACAAGCTGCTAAAGCTCCCCTGACGCTCTTCTCCGGCAG